CTTATGGAACATGATTATGGGGGTTGAGGCTTGTATGTCTCATCAGCGGAGAGCCGACCTCCCTCCTTTTCCTGGATCTCTTTAAGGTAGCTGAGGAATAGGGCTTGGGGCTCCTACATCTGGATCAGCAGGGAGCTGATCTCTTCCTCCCCGCACTGTGCAATCAGTTGCTGGGTATTCCCAGACATAATAAGTGAATGAAGTTGCAGCCTAACTAAACAACATTCATGGTCTTCTGCCTTTCTTCCATGTCAGATGAAGGCATCTGGGTCTCTGTGCGAGACAGGAGTTGGAGAGAATAACACAGGACTAGGTCATGGATAGCTGTAAACTTTTTAAAGATAGAGGCCTGGTTTACACTGGGGGGGTGGAAATCGATCTAAGTTACGCAACTGCAGCTACGTGAATAACATAGCTGAAGTCGACGTACTTAGATCTACTTACCGTGGTGTCTTCACTGCGGTAAGTCGACTGCTGATGCTCCCCCCGTCGACTCCTCCTCCGCTTCTGGCTCCAGTGGAGTACGAGAGGTGATGGGAAAGCGCTCGGAGGTCGAGTTATCGCGTCTTCACTAGTCGCAATAAATTGACCCCCGCTGGATCGATTGCTCCGGAGATAAGTGTAGACATGCCCAGAGTGTGCATTCCAGAGATAGCAAGAGAAGAGGAGGGGGAAGGAGGAGGATAGGTTAGGAATGGTGGCAGGGAAAGGGTGGAGATGGGTGGGGGAGGTAGAGAGGGTGGGGATGGAGCCGGGGTCAGGGTTGGGGCAAATGTCCCCAGAGGTGGGAAGGAGGATGTAGGCATGGCACCTAGCTGTGTGCTGGCCAGGGGAGATCAGGGTGGAGAGGGGAAGAGGAGCAGGCAGAACTGGTGGGAACTGTAGAGTGGCGTGGGTAACCAGGAAGGAGAGATGGTGCCAATGGGAAGAAGGAGGTGGAGGACAGATGCTACAATGCAGGAGAGAGGTGTAGTGAGAGCCATTGGTGAGTGGCAGATGAACAAAAAAAAACCCTTCCCCCCCAGGAAAGGTCTGACAGTCTGCTCCTGGCCCTGGCACTAGGTCTGAACCAACTGGGATGTGCCCCCTGTTACAGGCAGAGCTCTCCAATCAGAGTCCCAGTTGGTGTTGAGGTGGCAGGAACAGCTGTGATGCGTCAGCCTCTGCGGCTCTTGGCCCCAGGGTTTCATCGGGAGAGAATCCAGAGCCTCCAGTGGTTGTTGGTGCCCACTTAGCGAGGGCAGTCTGCCCAGGAGGCATTTTTAAGAAAAATCACGCAGGAAGAGTCAGACAAATTCATATGTTGATCATTTCATGGCATTACCATGGGCAGTATTAACCAGCACTATTGTTCTGCAGGGGTCATGAGCAGCTTTGTATAGAAATCAGCTTATCCGTGGGGAAAGTCACATAATTTTTCTTGGATTCATTAAATCTGTTACAGTCATTTCAAAATCATTTTTATTCCTCAGGCAGCCTCTTTGCCTTGGAGATCCTGATATTCTTTTTCAAGTGTATTTGTGCGCATGCCCATATACTTGCTGTTGGTTAGTCTGCAGCAAAGTAAGTAGGGTCAGAAAGGCCTGGGAGCATTAACAAGGACAGGGAATTAGGTGTGTGGCTGTCAGGGGAATGCAAAGTTACGGAAGGCTGACCCTGCTGGCAGTAGTTCATTTGTCATGCACTTGACTGGGAAACCAGTGACAAAATACTAAATTGGAATGGTGCTAGGAAAAGGCAATTTCCCCCCCGGAGCTAAGATCAGAGTGTTTTTTTCATTCCTGGTGATTTAGAACTGGAGCAGCAATGTCAGTAGGGTAGGTGGACCCGGAGGATCCACACATCAGGTCTGCTAGAGCAATGTGTCTTGCACATTTAAGTATACAATGAGTATACAGCAATGAGTGAATTTCAGAAGAATTGGGTAAGATAGTCCCACCCCTCAAAAAGCAGGGGGGAGGGGGAAAGAAAGCAAATCAAAATTCATTCAAACCTTTTGAAGTCTCTCTCTCTCTCTCATGTCCACTGTTTTAAATGTGTTCCAGCTGTCTCCACCCCTCCAGCCCAACCAGATATTTCTCCCATGCTGTTGACACCACCCTAACCTTCTCTTGACCCCTAAATCACTTTCCCCTTCCACTAACATATCCCTTAAGCCTCCGGCATCTTTTCCCTTACTTGTACAGTCACTCAAATTCTCCAGCTCCCTCCTCATCTCCTGGTGTGGGTGGGTCTCAGGTCTGTCATCTCCCTGATGTTCTAGTCAAATCTGGCACGCTCTTGATTTTTCTCTGGGTCAGAAGTGCATGGCATTAACCCTCTGCCCACAGCCACCCCGCTCTTCCAGCCTCGGAATCTTCTATAAAATAAGACGATCCAGCTAGTCCAATATACAGGCAAAACGTATTGAGATGGCAGATGAGTGGCCGCCTCACAGCACCCCTTGTTGTCCGTAGGGCAACACTGCACACAGCCTGCCACTTCAGTTTCCCTTCTTGGATCCCCAAATAAACTCCACTCAGGGTTCTTCCAGTCCAATCACAACAGCCCTCCTTAAGGTCTGATTTATTAACTTAAAGTGCAAAAGTCTTCTCTACAGCTGGGTACAGCCCAAACGCCCCAGGTCTGGTCAGTCCTTCCTGCCTTAGCAGGTTACACCCAGTCCTTCCTAGTTGGAGCAATTCCCCTGGTCTTAGGTTAGGATCTTCCCTGTGGGAGCCTCTCTCTCACACTCCCTGCAGTCTCCCTATAGCCCCCCTGGGCTTCGTCCTTACTGCAGCTCCCTTCTGTTCTCTATTGTAAATTGCCTGATCCCGCCTCCCCCATTCTGTAGACAGGGTTGGCTTGGCCCCAAGCTCTCCAGATCAGTGATCTTCAGAGGTACATCAACAAAGGAGACTGTGGTAGGGGCCAGCTAGAGGAGAAGGGATAGTTATCTAAACACTTCTGTGTCTGATAAGGGTTTACATTTGGTTCTCTTTGACATTCGGGTTGAGGTTTAGGCCTGTGATTTTTTTTTTAAGTGGCTTTGCCCACTTAAAGATACAGAGATGTAGCTTTACAGTACTCTGTTAAACAAAGCAGACTTGCATTCAGCTATTTCAAAACAGGACTCCATATTTTGCAGCCCCCAATTATATGACACAGCTAAATAAGAAAGGGATCAATGTGTGAAATACAATACTGCAAGGTGTACTTTGATCCATATGCTCTGAGTGTTCCCCAAGGTATGAACATGGGACACAAGATAGCCTTACACTTTAAACATAGGCTATACGCTGATACGGGCCTAAATATTGAAGCTGATATCATAGGAGATACCAATGGGTTAAATACCCTTACATCACATGAGAAGGTTTGATAGTTAAGCATCAGGGGAAACAAACCAAAGATAGAGCAACTCCTGCAACAACTAGCTGGAAATTGCAAAGTCAGCTAAATGTTGTCAAAATCCCCAGACAAAAATGTCATTAAGATACAATTAAGGTTATAAACAGAGACCAATTCCCAGGCAAAAAAAAAACTTCATTAAGATTAGTTATAGTCAAACTATATGATTAGAACACTGTAGTTATTAAAATGATAAATGTTTGGAAATTCAAAGTTAAGGTTCAAGTTACTAAAATAAATATTTGAATGTCAGGAAATTCGTAGTTCTGTTTCCACAAACATACTCTGACCCCATAATGCTGCCCACTATCCACTTGCCTTCTATTGTGATGTTCTGAATCATTTCAGAGTGTTACAGAGCCATGGGGTGTTTCATTCACTACACGTTTGGTGGGTAGAGGAGCCAATGAAATGGTTACATTTATACAGCGTTATTTCTGGACTGCGGGGGAAGGGATAAGACACAAGATGCGCGTGTTTCTTGCTGTCAAGACATGGGAGCTGAACAAGGGTCTGTACTGAGTCTGTGGGTCGCTTGGGACATACGACAGGAAGATGGGATACATGGATCTGTGTCATTAGCAGCTGGTAGTTCCAATACAAACCAATATAGCTACAGCACTGAGACAATTGTCATAGTTCTGGTTCTCTATATCTTTGCAGTACAATCTGGTCAATGCTGGGAAATATTGATGGTAGCATAAATTGGCTGGATATGAGGGATTATAGGTAAATACACCAACTAGATTATATTTATTGAGATGGCGTAAAAGTTACTGTACGTTTATCCACTGCAGTTGCATTTTCTACTCAATGAACTACATTTTTATAGAAATGCTAATAACTGCTAAACACTAGATCCAGTCAGAAAACTTTCATCGAAACAGATTTTCAATGGAAAATTCTGTTTATGCCAAAAAGTTTTGAAAAATGTGTGGATTTTCATGAAACTTTTGTGGGGGTGGGGGGGGGAGAAAAGGAATGAAACATTTTTGTTAATGTTGAAGTGTCCCTTTCTGACATTTTCAAAATGTCCCCTTCTGGTATTTTTAGTTTTTAAATTTTGTTTCCCAGGGAATTTAGAAATGATTGATTTAGTTTCGTTGCAGAAGGAGAAAATCCAGTTCCTGCCCAGCTTTACTAAATACATTGAAAATACAAGGAGCACATACTGGCCTAGGAGAGCTGCATATCTGAAATAATAAGTGGAGTGCTAGATGTCTTCTATGAAGGGCAATTTCTTTTCACATCACCCTATTGGTCGCAGTCCTGGAAAGTATAGTAACAATAGAACAGGACAGATATAGAATGAGGCTATGCCAAACAATACCTTATCACGAAAAGTGTCTCATGTTAGAATAAAAGAAAAGGAGTACTTGTGGCACCTTAGAGACTAACCAATTTATTTGAGCATGAGCTTTCGTGCCAGCTCACTTGTCATGTTAGAATGACATGCAATATAAGTAACTACTTGATGAGATCCTTGCAACAATATTTAATTTTCAGGGCTTTTAATGGGAAATGGAGGTTTGAGTTGTTGTTTCATTCAATCAAACTTTTCATTATGATTTATCAAGATGAAGTTGTAAATGTTGTCTTTTTCTTTTTAGCTTCTATAGTGATTGGGAAATGGTGGTGTGAAATGGAGCCCTGCCTAGAGGGAGAAGAATGCAAGACATTACCTGATAATTCTGGATGGATGTGTGCAACTGGCAATAAAATCAAGACCACCAGAGTAAGTCATGTTTCCATTTGTACCTACTGAAAGGGAATCACTTGCCCTTGTTCACCCATACACTTTTACAGTCACCAGGACTGCATCTTGCTTTTGTATAGAAGGTTGGTTGGCTGCTTTGTCAGTTTCCAGCGCTCTGACCTTCTCCCTACATCAGTCACAGGTTTTCAGATTCAGAGATCTCAGCTGAGCCCAGGTTTTCAAACTGGCATCTCAGCACTGTGTACCTTTCTGAAAGTCATTGCCTCCAAGGAATAAAATAGCCTATCGGCAGGCTCATTTTTGTTGGTTAAAGATACAATTATGAAAGCCATGGGTTGATAGGTATGAGATTTTGCTGGCTAGTACGTCATAGTAATAGCTAATTTCTGAGTCCATGGCTTTTATTTCATCTACAGGAGATTGAGTTAAAATGAAAGCTCATTCTGCCCACCCCCCCACCCACCAGTGCGCAGTGCAGAAAGGCGCAAACACGTGGGAAAAGACATGGTGGTGTTTGTGCAGCTGGGCAACAGTAGCTTTCCCTCCACCATACAGTCATCTCCCAGTCACCCCGTGAGGAAATGAGCCCTGGTTGGATGAGGAAACAGGAGAACATCTACACTGAATGTCACATTCCCCCTCCTCACATTAACTAATCCCCATTGTTTTACATGCTGCAGCCTCACAGAACTCAGCCCAGCAGCACCGGGGGAGACAACCTTGTTGTGCAGGAGCTGTTGAAAGGCATTAGGGCTTGTCAAAAAGATTTGTCCTACAAGTTTGTTAATTATTGTAAAAAGAAAAGGAGTACTTGTGGCACCTTAGGGACTAACAAATTAATTTGCGCATAAGCTTTCGTGAGCTACAGCTCACTTCATCAGATGCATTCAGTGGAAAATACAGTGGGGAGATTTATATACATAGAGAACATGAAACAATGGGTGTTACCATACACACTAGAAGATCAGGGTTGGAAGAGACCTCAGGAGGTCATCTAGTCCCACCCCCTGCTCAAAGCAGGACCAAACCCAACTAAATTGAAAAAGGCTTTTTTCCCCCCAAAAAAGGAAACATTTGCAGAAATGTTTTTGACTTCATCTAAACATTCCTGCACCTTAAAAAGGGACTTAGTCCATCATTCTCCCACTCCCAGAAGAAAGAGAGAAATGGGGAAGGAACTATGATTCACAGAGTTCCAGTTTCTTGCTGGATCTCTTTGTGGGGTGGCGGAGCCATGTGCCACCCCATGTTTATGGCTTGTCTGTTCTAAATTGAAATAGCATTTGAGATTAGACGCATGAAAACGATCACATGTCCTAGTATCTCTTTCCCTAATGAATCACAAATTTCAGAAAGGGAAATTATTTAACAAGTAATGTGAGGAGAAATTTAAAACTTTTGTTATTTACATTATTATTATTGTTGTTCTTGTGCTAGATTTTTAATGTAGCACCCTAGGGTAATCTTGCATTCTGCCTTGCAAATATGTAATTTAGGAATCTTATTAGTTTTGATAGGAATTTGTAATTTCTTAAGCTCCACCATCCAAAAGCATCCTGTGAACCAAGGTGTAGGTAATAGTCAATATCTAGTAATAATAGTTAGAAACTTAGGAGTGAAACTCATTAATATTCAGAGGTGCGATTCAATCTAATCAGAATGGGTTATTGTATTTCATTTAAATTAAAAACCTACAGGTATTCAGAAATGAAAAAAAATGTTTCTGGCATTTACCCATAGGAGTTATTTTAATGAGCTTGTGTAGGGTAAGCTTCGAGCAGCATTTTGTTTTGTTACCTTGAAACATTGTGACAGAACAGAATTCATAGAATCATAGAATATCAGGGTTGGAAGGGACCTCAGGAGGTCATCTAGTTCAACCCCCTGCTCAAAGCAGGATCAATCCCCAATTAAATCATCCCAGCCAGGGCTTTGTCAAGCCTGACCTTAAAAACTTCTAAGGAAGGAGATTCTACCACCTCCCTAGGTAACGCATTCCAGTGTTTCACCACCCTCCTAGTGAAGAAGTTTTTCCTAATATCCAACCTAAACCTCCCCCACTGCAACTTGAGACCATTACTCCTTGTCCTGTCCTCTTCTACCACTGAGAATAGTCTAGAACCATCCTCTCTGGAACCACCTCTCAGGTAGTTGAAAGCAGCTATCAAATCCCCTCTCATTCTTCTCTTCTGCAGACTAAACTAAAATTGATAAAGGCAAAGTGGCAAAAGGCTTAATAATGATCTCTTAAATCATGGAGACAGAAATCTTGGATATACTTTTGGATGAGTTAAACTTTTGCTTGAAGTAGCCTGCTTGATCCTTAAATGGCAAAAAAAACCAATCAACTCCTGAAATAGGAATTTAATTTTTGTTTCTTAAAAAGCCCACTGTCATTTCAGATAGCACAGGAGAAAGGTGTGCTCCAGAAATACATGTGCTCCTGGCCCAGATCAGATGACTGAGGGCTGTGTGTCTCTGTTTGCATATATTTCAATGATAGGAGTCAGGAAGAAGCAACGCCAGTCAGCCAATATCTGGATATACCCGTGATGATTAGAAAAGGGTTTAGCACAAGTCATTCTGAGCCTTAAACTAATTTGCCATGAGTGTTCTCCATACACAAAAGAACTTTGAGGGACTCAGGGACTGGTATCCTGACTATGAACATTTCCACAATTATATATGAGATAAAAATTCACATGCTTCAGGGCATAAACCTGAACCTAACTGATGGATAGGAAGAAACTCCCACTACAGTAAATTATGCATAGTTGTCCATTCCAAGCAGAGCTGTGTGAAATTTTTTTAGTGAACAGTTTCTTTACTGAAAAATGCATTTTTCAGTCAAATGAAAGCATTCGCAAATTCAGGTCACATTCAGTGAATTAAAATGAAATAAAGAATTAGCAAAAGTCAAAATGGTTTGTTTTGACATTTTCAAAATGAAATGTTTCAAGTTTTCATTTTGAAATTACCTTTCCTTTAAAAATCAAGCTAGATTGGTTACAAAAATGCATTTAAAGGGGGTAAAAAAACCAACCAGAATCAAAATGAAAAGAAAAAATGAATTTTTTTCCAGTTTCCGTTGAGCAAGAAAGAACTAAAAAATTCAGCTTCAGTTTGACTTGAAACAATTCTTTTCTGATTTTTTTTTGGTTCTGCCACCAAACTGAAAAATATTCATTCCACTCTAGTTACAGGAATGCTTGCACCTTCCCCTGAAGTGACTGCAACTGGTTCCTGTCAGAGAAAGGATATTGCACTTGAGGGACCACCGATCTGACCCAGTGTTCCTGTTTCTCTGTGACTGTGTACTTGACTTTAGCCCTTTAACTTTTAACATGGTTGAGTATTTAAGATGTTCAAGCCCAAGACTTAAAGAGCTGTCCACAGCTTCTGCAAAATGATTTATTTTCTATTGATAGAGCAGCTGTCTGAAATTTTGTCCAGAAATTGTTTTTTTAATTTATTTGGGTCTCATGTCAAACTTTTTTTTATCACTTTTCACTTGTTTTAAAAGGCAGCATGAGTTTTGGAGACCATCTGAAAAGCTTTGATTCTTCTCTAACACTTTCTTCGCAAAAGTATCAGAGACCAGGCTGTGAGGTCACACTGCAACTCGCAGAGTGCACAGCCCGTTCCAGCCAGCTAGCGGACTACTGGGTTGGGCTTTCTGTAGGCAGAGGCTGGATGGGTTGGGAGGTGGAAATCTACCCTCCCAAGTTGGTGCCAATGAGCAGGGCTATGATGTTGGGGACTGGAATAGTAGCTGCAGTCCCTTGGATCATGGTCATTTCCCTGGATCCAGTTGTAGCTTTCTACACAGACCTATACAGAGCTAGAGATCCTTGCACAGCATGTAGGTTTTGGGCAGGCACCCCAGTGCAGTCAATCCAGTCTCCATCGTACCATTCCTGTTCAGAGCTTAAGTGATTCAGAAGGCTTTGTGCTGGCCCTCTGTGCCAGGTGTGAATTTCACCCAGTATCCATGTAATTCAGCAAATTGTCCTATTTTTACTATAAGCTACGCTCATAATAATAGTGCCCTCAAAGCCCTTTACAAAAATAGGTATATTTCTTATCCTCATTTTACAGATAGGGAAAACTACAGTGCACAGAACTTAAAGGATTTGCCCAAAGTCACACAGTGGCTGAGTAGGATCCAGGTCTCTTGATTTCATATCCCCTGCTCTAACAAGTAGGCCAAGCTGTTTCTCATAAATAACATTCAGTTTACAATATATTATGCCATCAGGTCATTTTTATATTGTCTCCTGAGTAGTGTAGGTGAAAGAACTACTCACATTTCCTAGACTACTTGCCCAGTAATACTGCAACAGCTGAGGTTATGGTCCCTTGAAACCTGAATCCCAGAGCATATTCAGCTCCCTCCCTCCTTGAGCTAATAGCTGCAGTGGTACAGCAAAGAGAATGGGATTTGTTCAGTCTGTGTGAGAGAAAACCCAGCCCAGAAGATCATTTGTTAATGGCAAATCAAGACAGCAGAAAATAGAACTGGAACTGGACAGAACCGGAAAAAAAATTCTGAAAGGTTTTAGGATTTTTTTTAACAGGCTGAATAGGTTAATATGCTGACCTATATTTCAGATTAAATTTCTATTTAGAGCATTGACTAAAGCCCTTTGTTTTTGTTGTAGCAGTCATTCTAATTAAGAGGTCACCTCAAAGTAGTAAAAAGAACACAAGGCAGTAAATATCTGTTGCTAAGACAATTACTGCTGCATCCCATCATACAGTCTACTGCTCTGCTAATAATTGTTCTCCTAATTTAAGGACTGAGCCTCCTGAAGTCAATGTGAGTATTGCTACTCACTTAAATTGACTAGAGAAGGGCTATGCTATTCATTTATGTGTATTGATGTAACCAAAAAACGACACATCTTCTCAAGGAAGCTAAAAATGTCAGCGTCTGATAGGTCATTCTTATTTCAGAGTCACAGAAACCTGAACAATGGCCGGTTTTCCTTGTAGGGGTTTTTAGCACATTCAAGTAGATCAAGTCTCTGTTATCTAATGTAACCAACCCCTCACCTGCCTCTCCAGGCAAATCAGTGGTGTTCCACAAGTTAGTCATTCAAGAGGGCAGGAAGATGCTCGTGCCCATACATCCCCACAGGAGCTGGCCATGCTGCCCCTGAACACCACCAGACCAAGCTGGAGCACAAAACAAAACGCTGATCTCAGGCTGTGAACTCAGACACCCATTTGGCAGAGTCATGTGCCACCACCAGCGGACTATCAATCCAGCTTTTGTGTTCATTTCTGTAACGTATGTAATTGATTGTTTTGCATTTCGTTGCAGATTCACCCAAGAACCTAATAGCGTCTCCTGGATGAGAGAACCACTGATTTACAGAGGACAACATATTCAAAATGTAAACCATCTCAAGCATTTACAAGCCAAATGGATTTCTTATTTGCACTTTGACTGTTGACCAGATAATAACAGTGGCTTTACTGTGTGAAATAAAATATTCTATGGAAATAATGCCCCAGATTTTTGACAACAGAAAAGAAAAATGAAGAAAAATGGTTCTTTGGTAAAGTTTTCGTGATGATGAAGTATGAACAATAGTCTTATACGTTTGGATCTACAATTTACTTTATACCATTTAAAAGTATAGATATAAATATATATGATATTTTGAAATAAAGCCTCACTCTTCAAGAAATTAAATAGTACCACACTTTGCTGGAGCTGCTGGAATACCGGTTTTTAATGATCTGGAATACACCTACCAGTTTCAGAGCAGTCAAAAGGGAGAGCAAACCCGCTGCAGCACCAGGACACCTGGAGCTACCAGAATCATGAAGATGTTGTGTCAAGAGCTTCCTTTTTCTTTCAACAGAGTATTGGAGAGAATTACGTTATTCCATTTTCTTGTGTTCTGGAGGCTTTTCCCCCCTTGTGCAATACTAGCATGCTGGCTTTACTTACATAACTATACTTTATACTTAACAATGATGAGTCTATCCTCTTCCAGGAAAATATTTTTAGAGCTATTAGATATTCCGTGAAGAAGAGAAGGACAGCTCTTGAATAAAATACAGTATGTATTAAGAGTTTATTTGGCAGAGTTTGGTAGACTGCGGGCTGCCTTCTTATTAAAGGTGTACAACAAACAACGTCTTCAGACTTTGTAGAGGTGGCACAGACTCCAGTGAAAATGTGATTGCTAACTCCAAAGTTTTGCATTGTTTACTCGAGAATACAAAAACTGATTTTGTTTCTTAGTGTTTGATTAAGATGAGTTGGGATTTGCACAAGGTTTGATTCTTGCTAGCACATCTGGGTTGCTGCTGTCTTAGTCCTTCCTATAGACAAACTTGCACTGTTTAATTAAACTGGTTTACTTAAACCGATGAAACCCCCCGTCTGGACCCTCTTATTTCAGTTTGAGTGGCTTATTTTGGTTTAGCTTAAACCTAATTCACTGAAGCTCAACTGAAAAAAGCAAAAAGAAAAGGCGGACTTGTGGCACCTTAGAGACTAACAAATTTATTTGAGCATAAGCTTTCGTGAGCTACAGCTCACTTCATCGGATGCATTCAATCTACTCTGTCAACTGATATAGGACACTCTTAAAACAAAATAAGAGTTCCCATGCAGGGGTTTGTGCCAGTTTAACAAAATCAGTTTAAATTGACACCTTTGATTAAAGCAATGTAGCTCTCTGTGTAGGAAAGCTCTTAGAATGATTAGGACAGAGGTAGAACCTCAGGGCCAGAATTTATGTTTGTGAATATTTACTCACATGAGTAGTCCCTTTAGTGGGAGTACTCATGTGAAAAAGTGCTTGCCAACGTGCATGAAGGCTACACAGTCAAGCCTTGGGTATTTGTAAATTGAAGAGGTGTATGGAAGTGAAGAAGGCATTTTATCCAGTCCCACTTTCTCTTCTTTAGTATTTTCAGTTTCCTTTCACCCTAGTTACCTGTGTCTCACAAGACCGCCTTCACCCAGACTAATCAGTTGTAATCCAGTGTAGAATAACAGCTGAGCTCGCTGACCCAAAGTCAGTCAAAATTATCCCACCAGCTTTCTTCCTCCTCTAGGGCAACCACTTCAGCACCTGATATTTCAGGAGGTGGAAATTTGTCACTGTAATTACAGGGTGTATTAAAGCAGCAGTGCCAAGCATCACACCAGATTCCACATGGACTTTATATGCTGGTAACTGGAGTGTTGAGCCTCAAAATAAAAATGGATGTATTGCTTTGTAAGCAGTAATTTACCACTCTCTCCCTTTTGAATAGATATTTGGCCAGTTTCTGTAAGATCAAAACATGCCTGAACACCTTTTTTCTCGGGTGTATTCTGAGATCAGAATCAGGCCATAAAAGTTAATGCTGGTTTTTTTCAACAGTCTTCCTCCCCTTCCCCACCTGCCCATTTTACTTTTAGTCCAACAAATACCTTTCCCCGTCACTCTTGTCAATAGCTCTTAGGGCTGAGTCCCGAGATCCTTGCTCAATCAATCTCCTATTGAAATCAAAGAGAATTTGTCATCATAAGGCCTGAGGTCTTGCCTACATGGGGGGGACAAATTAACTAACAGTGTGAATTAAAAGTGGATTGGTTAAACTGAATTAAACCCGTGTGGATACTCTCATTCAGAATTAAAGTGGACTTAGTCTGATCTAATTTAATTCACTTTGAAACTGAATTAAAGTAAACTGTATTAGGCCACTTTAATTCTGAATGAGAGTATCCATACAGGGGGGTAATGCAGTTTAATTAATCCACTTTTAATTCACACATTCCGCTAATTGAGGCTAACTTTCCTGAGGTCCCCATGTAGACAAGCCCATGGATAAACACCAAGCAAAGACATCTGGATTTGGCCCTTAGGAGGACATCCACTCTCCACTTCCATGTCCCTGGAGATTCCCCTGGGTAATAGAACAGATGTGGCTCAGCTATGCGTGGGAGAGTCTAGCTAGCGGCATGAGTGTCTTGCACCAGATGTGCTCCCATTGCACAGCACATAGACCATCAGGGCTGGGAGTTCTTGTGTGGCAGTGTCCAGTGGTCAGGAAGCCTGGGCAGGTCCAGTAATCTTCTGGTCCTCTGCCTGTCTGGGCTGCAGAGATCTAGATCAGCCAATAAAATGAAGTAGCCTAGTGGAGTGGCTCTGTGGGTGCTCCAAGCCATGGTTGGGAATTTCTTCCCCCCTCCTCCCATTCTCTTTGCAGAGAGACCCACCTCACAGTCACACCTTCAGGCTGGGTAGTGGGTCCCTGGGTTTAGCCCTCAGAAAATCAACTGGTAAGAGTGCTGCCATGAGCTGAATGAGTGGGCCTGATTCTGGTCTCAGTTACAATAGTGTAAGTGAAGAGCAACACCACTGAAGTAAAGCATCATCACTATTTATTTGTACTATGGTAGCACCTTAAAGCCCCCAGCTGAGATCTTTATGCTAGGCACTATACACCCACATGATAAGATTCAGTCCCTGCTCCCAGAGAACTTCCGATCCAAGTGGAAGAGGCAGACAAAATGTGGGAGACAGAGAGAGCCCTATTTTGCACATGACAAACGGAGGCACAGAACAGTTAAGTCTGTCCAAGTTCACACATCAGTTGAAGAGACAGGACTCCGAACTCCTTAGTCTTAGAGCAGTGCCTTAACAACAAGACATCTTTTTCGCAGCTGTAACTCAGATTAGAATCTGACCCCTTTAGCTTGTCTCCCAAACCCAAGGTCCAAGAGTGAGATACTTGCCATCTTTTGTCTCCCGTGACCTGAACTCTGACTGATCATGTAAAAGTAACTGTAATGCTTGGGTCGGAGGTGGATTACCATTTTGTGGGGCCCTGGGCCAGAGCAAGTGCAAGCCCCTCCCGACCTCTTCCGCCTCCAGTTGGCCTAGTGGCTAATCTGCCACTGGCTTGGGTCAGCAAAATTTTGCTTACTGAAGGATGAAAATACTAAGCCTGCTAAAATTATAGAGAAGGAAATATTGTTTATAAGAAGCAAAGTTTCTTGGGCATGCTCATGATTTTCTCTTTGCCAGTTGGCAGCATCAAATATCACCCCACCAAATTCATTAAACATCTGCAATTCTTTGAAGTTACTGCAAACTCTGCATATCACATGCAGTATTAAGAAATTTCTGTTTCAGTTAAAACGATTAGGAAAAAAATGAGACCATGACCATAAGATCATAAGAGCCATAATGGGTCAGACCAAAGGTCCAAAATAATGACTAACAAAATGCAAAGTCAAATTAGGATGCAGGCAACCTTCATTTTTTCAGTGTACCCTCCTGAACAAAAAATTCCTACCAGCCTAGTGGCACAATGATTGCATATTTCAGTGATATACAGGATAAAGCCTTGTGTATTGGAAAAGTCTTGGAGTTCCTTTCTTCCTTGGCTGATGGAATATTGGTTTTTTGAGGGCATGGTTCTCTGGATCCTCATGAGAGGACACGAGTCATGCCATTCTTTGCACATCCATAAAGGAGTATTGACATCATCCTAAGAGGAAACTAAAGTTCCTGCTTTCTGGCATAGGTACAAACGCAGTGATGCCGGTGGGAGGGAAATTAAATATTTGTAAATGTACTGGAGATAAATTTTGACTTGTGTCAGCGTTTCTTCTTCAGATATGTGAAACATGAAGCTGTTGTTTAAATCTAATGTGTACAAGTTGGAGAAACGTTTAAAATATGGCTGCTACCATCTGCCTATTGATTCAGATAATTTAAATGATGTACTTTTTATCCAAAATCTCTGGTAATAAAGAGCTCAGTGTGGTATGATTTTAATGTTGCTTTCAGAATGCTATCTACTGTCTGTCGATACACTTGGAATACAGGAGGTGGGGGGGAGGGGGGGAATCAGGGGCCAACATTATGACCTCGCATTATAAATGTGGTGGTAGGAGATGCAGCTCCTGTCACAGGGCGATGCCTATGTAAAAAATGTTCAGAGTAAAAAAATGTACAGTGATTGCTGCTTTGTGTTATCAGAAAATATTGATTGGCCACTAATGGACTTTTTCAGGTATAGTCAGAAGCTTATTGCTGAGTATCTTTTCCTATTATAAAATTATTAGCAATGTTTCTAACTCTCGTAACTGGACACACGTTACACTTCATATGACAACGTTCTCAGAGCAAAATAGTCATTTTCTGGGATACTGTTTTGTCAACGTATCATTATAATTGATATATGCGTTATGGAGAGTATAACCAGGGTTTGCACTGGAAAGTATATGAATCCTTACATAAAGCTGACAGGTTTTTTTTTTCTTAAGCTGATAGAATGTCACAATATGAGTTTCTATTTTAACAATACCTCAGTCACATTCCATCAAGCAGGGTTTGGAGCTTGCCTGAGGGAAATGTGTTTCGCGCCTTTATTTGGTATTTTACGTATCTTTATCAGATGCACCAGAGATCACATTAGAATTGTGTGCAGGAATAATTTTCAAATGGACCAAACACTACAGCTATGCAGGAAAATTGATTTAAGTCTTTAACTCTGTGGTCAGAAGTCCACCTACCTGTGGTCAGTTAGAATCCAGATTGTAGGCCTGATTTGGATCTCATATATGTATAGACACTCCCCTGTGGCGCTCATCACCTTGATATTGGAACATCCCACAAATACTAATGAATTTATACTAACGGTGTTATACTAACACCACGACTATGAGGCACAGAAGTGTGATTATCCTGTTTTACCGATGGTGGACTCCAGGCACAGAGAGAGCCAAGGACACAAAGAGAGTCTATGGCAGAGCCAGAAGTGGAACCCAAGTCCTATCCCAGTGCCATCTCTTTGTTCACATCAGTGTAATTCCATTGACAACAGGGTGCTGATTTTCACTAATGTAATGAAGAGCAGAATCAGGCCCATTAGCTGTAAGATGTGGGGGAAAGTAATAATTAATTAATGAAATGTGGCAAAGAGTGCTCTACTTGGGGTCAATTCATTAGAAAGAGAGAGAACTTTTGGGGGAAGGTTTTCTAATAGATGGTGAGCACAAAATGAGTGGAGAAAAATTGAGCTCCCACATCACAGTGTCCAGAACCACTAAATAATGATATTAGGAGCTTAGCAAAAAGCCATAACAACTGGTGACAATTGATAACTACAAAAAAATTCCATTATTTTGAACAAACATACACCTGTGGCCATTCACCAAGTCCATTTTTTAGGACTTATTATTGCAACTTACGGAGTAAATCTATTTCTTTGACTGCAGGAAGCAAATGTACAAAGTGATCTTTCTCAAACATTGTGCCTATTTACAATGAGCTCCTCTTCCAGCAGATGTTATTTGTCAGAATTTTAGAATGTATATGCTATTTCAAATACACATGCTCCTGAATTTGACTCAGCCAAAATCAATATATGTAGTTAAGCATTAGGTTATGATCTGTTTCCCACAATTCACATCCCTGTGATCAACACAGTCAAAAGCATTCCAATGATAGGCCCCTTTTTGCTTATTGTTTGCTATCTCCGTACAATGTTTTGTTGTCCCTAATTCATAAACTGTTTGATCTGCCAGCTTTTAAGATGACTATTGCTGCTTTCAGAGGTGAGTTAAAGATAAGAGCTTTAAGGCCTACTGAGGACAGGACCAAAGCTACCACAGCCTAGAATATTGCCTCCTGCCTCTTCATTTCCTCTTTCCTTTTGTTCTCATTTTATCTCATCCCCTGTTTCATGCCGGTTAATTATTTTCATCCATCTCTGTTAGTCTTTCACCACTACCCCTGACCCACAGACTAAAGAAAAGCAAATTGCTGCAAAGATCTGATTGGGTAAGTCATCCACCCAATAGCAATGATTTATGTGTGCTACATTTTTTTTTTTTTTGCTTTTGTACTCTCCTGGGCCTCACTGCAGATGCCATGTTGTCACCTCCCAGTCCTTCCCCCATTAAGTATTTAATGGCATGACCACCCAAGCAGAAACAAAGCAGGGGAGGTATGGCAGAGGTAGTATTTCATTCCAGCAATCCCTGGCTGAGAGAATGTCCCTTGGTAGCCATTGTCGCTGGGCCCAAATCACAGCTGACTTGAAGCTGCTCTAACTTGCTCCAAAGACCAAACTGGCCACTGGTTAGTCCTAGCTAAGGGAGTTGTAATGGTGGTGGCTCCCACTTCTACTTCTCCAGACCTCCTTCTTTGTGTATCTAGTTCAGCCTGCCTAGACCCAAGAACTGAGACCATTGACTGCCATAGAGTTACTCCTGATTTACACCAGTATAAAGAAGAAGAAAATCTGATTTTTCTCCATTTGATTTGACTTGATTTTCTGGATTTGAAACAGAGAGAAGAGGGTAGAATTTAGATGACCGATGCCTTACAACATGCCAGCGTTGCTCTTAGTTGGGAACCCAAGTCCATAGGACATGTCTACACTGTGCATGAAAGTCAATCTAAGCTATGCAATTTGACTTACAATAATAGCGTAACTCAAGTCGACGCAGCTTAGATCTACTTACCACGGGGTCCACACTATGCGACGTCTACTGGAGACACTCTCCCATCAACTCCACTTACTCTTCTCGATCCGGTGGAGTACAGGAGTCAACAGAAGAGTGATCGCTGGTTGATTTTGTGGGTCTTCACTAGACCCCCTAAATCGCCCGCCGATGCATCGATCACTGCAGTGTCGATCCTCCGGTAAGTGTAGACAAGCCCTAAGTGATACTGATGTTTTCCTAGTTTCACTTATGTTGGATTTGTAGCTAAATTTTTCTCTGCAAAGCACAAGGATCGGATTGTTAAAGATATTTAGGTATCTAAAGAAGCAGATAGATGCCTAGTGGGATTTTCAAGCACTTATGTGCCTATCTCCCTTTGATTTCTTGGGAGATAGATACCTAGGTGCTTTTCAAAATCCCATTAGGCACCTATCTGTATCTTTGGGTACCTAAATACCATTAAAAATCCAGCCCCAAGTCTCTTGGCCTGATTAGGATCTTATGTACGGGGATGTAAATGAGGAGCAACTCCTTTGAAATTAGCATAAAAATGGGAGGAGAATCAAGAACTCTGTTTACAATCTCAGCAGCAGGTGGTTTGTTTACTTTAAACACTGCATTGATCATTTGTTGCCATTTATAATAAATGGGTCTATCAGGGTTCCCTCCCCACTCTGGACTCTAGGGTACAGAGGTGGGGACCCGCATGAAAGACCGCCTAAGCTTATTTCTACCAGCTTAGGGTAAAACTTCCCCAAGGCACAAACTCTTTGCCCTTGGAGGGTACACTGCCACCACCAAGTGATTTAACAAAGAATCAGGGAAAAGACCACTGGGAGTTCCTATTTCCCCAAAATACCCCCCCCCAAGCCCTTACACCCCCTTTCCAGGGGAGGCTGGAGAATAATATCCTAACCAATTGGTTACAAAGTGATCACCAACCCAAACCCCTGGGTCCTAGGACAATAGAGAAATCAGTCAGGCTCTTAAAAGAAACAGAACTTTATTAGAAAGAAAAAAGGTAAAAGAAGCACCTCTGTAAAATTAGAAGTGAAGCTAATCTCACAGGACAATCAGATTTAAAAGACAGAGGATTTCCCTCTGGGCAAAAACTTTAAAGTTACAAAAAGAAAACCAGGAATACACCTCCCTTTCAGCACAGAGAAAAATCACAAGCCAAAACAAAAGTAAACGCATTTCCTTGCTAGTACTTACTAATTCTAATGGAATTGGATTGCTTGCTTTCTTGATCTCTCTCCAGCAAGTACACAGAACAGCCAGACAAAAGCCTCCCCCCTAGACCCCCAGATTTGAAAGTATCTTGTCCCCTTATTAAGGGTCCTTTGGGTCAGGTGCCAGCCAGGTTACCTGAGCTTCTTAATCCTTTATAGGTAAAAGGATATTGTGCTTCTGGCCAGGAGGGATTTTATAGCACTGAATACAGGAAGGTTGTTACCCTTCCCTTTATATTTATGACAGGGTCTAACATGAATCTGGTGTAATCAACCCCACCTGCAGCCATAGAGTTTCACCCACATACACCAGGTTGCAATTTGGCTCTGTATATATAAGCTTTACCATAATGACTTGACTTTGCACCACAGCAGAGGGGTGCAAATAAAGCATGCCTCGCGGTGGGAGGCGTACAAGCTTACTGTAATTCCACATTCAGAGTGTGGAGGAAAATCTCTTCAGAGCTGTTTTAGTGGAGTGATCAAGCCATGGTGCTTTTCAGTTCATCAAGCAGCTTCTTTTTCATTTAATACAGTATTCAGCTCAGCCTCCCAGCTCTTGAAGACGTGTGCAACTAAGTAGCAACTGCCCGCGGAATAGAAAAGCACCGTAGCCTGGACGTGTGCCTTGAAGAGCCTCAGAGCATCTTATTTTTTTTCCCCTTTTCCAACTTGACTTCTAAGAATGGAAGGCCTCAAAGCAGCATTGAACTCTGTCTGACTAGATATAAGCAATGAGGAAGCATGCCATTATCCTAATTGGGATGCTCTTCAATTTCTCTCTCTCTCTCCTGAACTGACAGGAGGGACAAGTCAAAACCTGGGAGACAAAGAAAAATGTAGACACTGCCTTAGGGAGAATGGAAGGCTTGAAAGGAGAGCAGACTGGAAAAAATGAGACCCGAGGGAGTCCCCTTTCACTTGCTCAGTCTTCTGCCCTGGAACCCTTGCTTTCTCCTTTTTTCCATTTCAGAAGGGCCCGAGGCACAAAGTTTAGACCCAGATTTGAGCTGCCCTAAAGTATAGGGGCTTTTAGGTGGTTCAATCAGCAATAAGGATGAAATTGTTCAGCTGTGAAATTTAGGTCCCA